GAATAGGTTCAATTACCAAAGGTCATTGCTATTTAGCTTCTATATTAAAATAATTCTTCTTCGAAATTATTTACTTTGTTCAGAAATCTGGCATTATCTAGTCTAAAAGTATTGATAATGAATTTATTTAAAAAACGTTGCGATTGATCGGTATGAAAATGATTTCTAGTTAAAAAATACTAATTAGTATCTTTACAAATAATAATATGTTATCAAACTATCAATAAAATTTTACTCGGAACTAAAAAACTACAATAGGCACCGGAATCACGTTCAATCTACCGAACAGCATTGCCTATTCTAGCTTCTTACTACTCTCCAAAATAAATTCTCTCTCTTCGCAATACCTCACTTTTCTCTTTCTTCACAAATCTGGCATTATCTAGTCTAAAAGTATTGATAACGAATTTATTTAAAAAACGTCGCGATTGATCGGTATGAAAATGATTTCTAGCTAAAAATACTAATTAGTATCTTTACCAATAATAATATGTTATCAAACTATCAATAAAATTACGGAACTAAAAAACTACAATAGGACGCGAATAGGTTCAATTACCAAAGGTCATTGCTATTTAGCTTCTATATTAAAATAATTCTTCTTCGAAATTATTTACTTTGTTCAGAAATCTGGCATTCTACTTACCGCTCTATTCGGATATTGATAACTAATTTATTTAAAAAACGTCGCGATTGATCGGTATGAAAATGATTTCTAGTTAAAAAATACTAATTAGTATCTTTACAAATAATAATATATTATCAAACTATCAATAAAATTACGGAACTAAAAAACTACAATAGGACGCGAATAGGTTCAATTACCAAAGGTCATTGCTATTTAGCTTCTATATTAAAATAATTCTTCTTCGAAATTATTTACTTTGTTCAGAAATTTGTCATTAGCTAATCTAAAAGTAGTTGATAGCGAAATTTGATAAAAATGCTCTAACATCCTCAAAAGATGAGAAAACCTAATGTGTGATAAAACAATCACTTCTCCCACCTCCTCACCTCAAACCTCTTATTGGTTGTACCATCTCCCATAAATCGCTGACCATATTTTGTGGGAATAGGTATACTAAAATATAAAAAAAATAATTCCCAGCTAAATTACACCAATTTGTAGGGCATTTTACATTAATCATATTAACATGGAATATGGAGCCTCCATTTCATTGGGAATACAGAAGTATACCTTATACATATCGTATATTAATGAAAACCTAAGCAATAGAGACGGGAGTATATAATTACTGTTTGGTGGTTTTCTATCACAAACATATTTATTTTAATGTATATTTGTATTAATATTAGAGAAATAGGAATTTTAGAATCATAATCTAACGTAAGAGTGGGTTATCATTGATATTATGTAATCCTGCTATTTCTGCAATTATATATGGTATTTCTGAGTAAAGCATGATTGACGTTGTGGCCTATTCTTGGTAGGTTTATCGTTATGTTATGACTCATGAATGGCTTTATTCTAATATTCGGGATAATAAGTTAAGAAAGAGATAAAATTTACATGTGCGTCATTATTGAGTTTTATTGAAGTGAACGTGATTGATATTGACTTTCCTTGGGGAATTCATACAAACGATAAATCGACATAAATACCTTTTAAATAAGCCATCAGTGCACCGCTGCGTAAACTTATACAATTTTGACTTCTAGCGGTATTTGGCCTAATTGCTTACTACATATTAGGTTATAACAAGTTTCGACCCAAAATATTTGTTACCTAGTCCAATTAAATTTTATAACTAGAATCAATATATAGTTCTTGGTTTAAATGAATTCTTGCTTGCAGATTCATCTGATGTGAAATTAAATTGCACATATCAATTAGTGGTTTGCGTTAACAATGCATCCAGTACACTTAACATAATGGGCACTTGTCGTTTGTATGTTATGTGAACATATTGGTTTTTGGGCTTTGCATTACTTTGTTTGATTGTCGGATGTTAATTGAGTTAACTGTTATGAACGAACATCACGTTGCATGGTTATTTAAATGGCATGAATATTCAAAGTTTTTCAGATTTAGCACCCCTAGCTAGCTAGCTAGCTCTCTCGCTAAAGCTAAATTCTTTAATTTCAAAGTTTCGTTCGATTATCTCAACAGCTGAATCTATGCGATTTATTTACAGAGCAAAACCGAAAAAAAACCTAAATCGGGATGTATAAAACAAAGTACCTATTAGTGTAAAAATTATTTCCAACGGCCCTGGCTTTTAACATAACCTAGAGTACAATAACCACGCGTCGCATGCAAACTATTAGGTACCTATCTGTCATGGTGTTCCGAACATTATCATGTTTGATTCGACTGCTTTAAAATCATTTAAAACATAATATTAAATGTATCCTTCCAAGTATTTATATTTCAGAAGCTGTAAACGTTAACAAATAACATTATAACTTAATGTAATTATTTGCCAACGCTTGTTCTGCAGAGCCCGTTATGATTGCATCGTTTCATCGTTCAAACGGCGGATGGTTGGTTGCATCTCGTATCCCGTTTACCGGCAAACAAAACTTAAAGATCTCGAGACGAGTTGAGGACGCGGGGGGCTCCTTAAATAGTGATCAGCGTTAATGTTTCATCGTAACTTTTCGAAAAGTTATCTAAACATTTCAAGGTATATTATAGTTTACCAAAAATAATATAAATATTATAGTACTCTGGGACTACTAATTAAAAACAAAACCAATAACGTTTTACGCTAAAATTAATACGACGTTAACTAATTTGGCGTCTCTAAAAATCTAAACACCGTGAATAACTCGACATTAAATGAAGTTAAAAGCAACTTTAGCAAGGATAAATTTTACTATACTACTACATACAAAATTAACCCGGGTAATTAGTACATAACACCACCTAATTTGAATAAAACAATTCGGTAAATCCGGTTCCGGTGTGTTAGATTCAAAGAGCAATAGTTAAGTGGAACTAACCAAATCAGAAAACAAAAAAGAAAACAAAAGCTAGATTTAGGAGATACAATAATTGTTTACAATGTTTGATTTTCAGATGTATTTTTTTATCTCGGAGTCGGCAGGCAGGGTTTTCGTGGCACGGATACGATAGGCAGCGATATTTCAAAATGTTTAAAATCTTATTCCGCTAAAAAAACTTGTCTTTGTGATGCATAAAATATTGTGTAAATTTTAAAATCACCAAACCAAATTACCTAAATAAAGTTCTAATAGTAGTAGCATATCTTTTATTCAAATAAAAAAATGATTTTCAGGTTCACTATGCATATATTGCGTAGTAAAAAAATATGATTTTAGTACTATTTTCAGGATTTGAAACTAAATGCAGTATATACCGGGCGATGACTAAATAGGTTTTTTTTTAAAAAAGATCTAATAAGTCAGGTAAATTATAAGTCATTTTTTTAATTACGAAGCTTTAATAATATTCTTTAGATGGAAAATAGATTAATAAAAAATTAAGAAAAGGTATTTAAAAGGTATCTCCCAGCTTAGGTCGATCCTTTAGGAAGTTTTTTAATGGTTTTTAAAATAAAATTAGTTGCTTAATATTTGATAAGCGAAGAGATCCCAAGCTTGGTTAGCACAGGGTAATAGGGACAGGTATATGACTAGGAAATATTTTGAAGGTGTGTACAGAAAACTAAGCTGCAAAGTGGTTGCTAAACAAATAACTGTATGCTTAATTTGGTGAATAAACATAGGATTAGGTTTAAATTATTATAAAAAGATTAGATATATATTTAATTAGATGTATGCAGCTAAAGTTACCACAACTTAAAGCAACGGGTTTTTTTAAGTTATTCATAGGTTAATAAAACACTACACATACACTGATCTACTGTTATAGTTACCTTGATGAGGCTGTAATTTAACGATAATAAACTTTAGAAAATTTATTGGAATTTTTTGGACAAACTTCAGATATATCTATATCTCATTCTTCTGTATTGTTTGTTATTTGGTAATTGTGGAACATTGTTTTAAAAAGAAATAAAATATGATTGATGAACAATATTATGACTACATATAATGGAACACATACATACATATTAGATAGACTAGGTATGTCAAATATTACATTAAAATCACACTCATCTAGCTTATCTCATTCATAATTAAACATTACAGAAGAATACACAAGATGTTTGCTACAAAGAGCAAATATTTATATTACAGAATATTTAACTTCTAAAGAAGCAGGAGGTTAGGTAATAGGGAATAAGGTTATTGAAAATTTAGTATCTATCGCTGTTATGAGTGCTTACAGATTAGGAGGATTACAGATTAGGTTAGATAGTCGCTCAACAAATAAAACTTAATTTTTAATAACCTGCTTTAAACTTCAAAGCTTATATTATAATTAAGTTCGCTTAAATGTAATATAAGTGTCATGCGGCAGATATCTACTGAGTTTCTTGCCGGTTCTTCTCAGTGGATGTTAGGTTCCGAACCGGCGGTAGTGTTTAAAAATGGTGTGCATCGGTTCGCGTAAAATCTGATAATAATAAAAATGAGTTAAAAATATTTGGTACTAATAAAAATTGAATTTTGTTCGAAAACAGTACAATATAAATAATAATATAAAAATAATACAAAAAAAAACAAATTAAATTTATAAAACAAATTGAATTAAATTTAAATAATAATAACAATCAGTTAAAAATATTTGGTACTAATAAAAATTGAATCTTGCTCGAAAACAGTACAATATAAATAATAATATAAAAATGATACAAAAAAAAAAAACAAATTAAATTTAAAAAACAGTAAAAAAAAATCGTGCAAAATAGATTAAAAACATTATTAATATGAACATGACATTTTAATATCAAGACCAAACTAAAATACGTGCAAAATAATTAAATAACAATTCCCAAAATTTGTACGTTATACACATAAAAATTCAAAATACATAATTTGTGACGTTGGTTTTACTATCCACAAAAAGTCAATGAAGTGCTGTAAAAGGTAAAGGAAGAGCCCTACGATTCCAAAAATATATCGTCTACCTATTTTATTGAGAAAGGAATTTAAACAAACTAACGAAAGTGTTTTATATTGTTCCCATTTCTGCAATATAAAGCATAGTTATGTTTTTTTTATATATAAACAGGATAATCAACCTCAAATGCATTTTATTAATTTTATGGAAAAGTTAACAGAAGAACTAAATAATTGCAATAGGACGCGTTTAGGTTCACCTACCAACGGATAGTTTTTATTTCGCTTCTATATAAATTTACATGTTTTCGAAATTATTTACTTTGTTCAGAAATCTGGCATAAGATAATATAAAATTATTTGATAAACATTGCGGTTGATCGGTGTGAATATTGTGTCTAGTTATGTTATCAAACTACCAAAAATTTTAAGGAACTAAAAAACTGCAAAAGGATGGGAATAGGTTCACTTACCTACGGATAGTTATTAATTAGTAGCTTCTATATAAATTTAGATACTTTTGGAAATGATTTACTTTTTTCAGAAATCTGGTACTAACTAATCTAGAAGTATTGATAACGAATTATTTGATAAACATTGCGATTGATCGGTGTGAATATTGTTTTTAGTTAAAAGGTACTAATAACTATGTTTACAAATATGTTATCAAACTATCAAAACATGTAAGGAACTAAATAATTGCAATAGGACGCGTATAGGTTCACCTACCAACGGATAGTTATTATTTCGTTTATATAAATTTACATGTTTTCGAAATTATTTACATTGCTTAGAAATCTGGCGTAAGATGATCAAAAATTATTTGATAAACATTGCGGTTGATCCGTGTGAATATTGTGTCTAGTTATGTTATCAAACTACCAAAAATTTTACGGAACTAAAAAACTGCAAAAGGATGGGAATAGGTTCACTTACCTACGGATAGTTAGTTATTAATTAGTAGCTTCTATATAAATTTAGATAATTTTTGGAAATGATTTACTTTTTTCAGAAATCTGGTGCTAGCTAATCTAAAAGTATTGATAACGAATTATTTGATAAACATTGCGGTTGATCGGCGTGAATATTGTTTCTAGTTAAAAGGTACTATGTTTACTACTATGTGTACTAACTATGTTTACAAATATGTTATCAAACTATCAAAACGCTTAAGGAACTGAAAAACTACAATAGGACACGATTAGGTTCACTTATTAAAATATAATTATTATTGAGCTTCCATATAATTTTATTTTTCGAAATTGTTTGCTTTGTTCAGAAATTTGGCGTTAGATAATCTATAATCAGTTAACAACAAATTATTTGAGAAAAATTGCGGTTGATCGGTATGAATATTATTTTTAGTAAAAAAGTACTAATAACTATGTTTACAAATATGTTATCAAACTACCAAAAAGCTTAAGGAACTGAAAAACTACAATAAGACACGAATAGGTTCACTTACCAACGGATAGTTATTATTTCGCTTCTATATAAATTTGTATGTTTTCGAAATTATTTACTTTGTTCAGAAATTTAACGTTAGATAATCTAAACTTAGTTGATAACGAATTATTTGATAAACATTACGGTTGATCGGTGTGAATAGTATTTCTAGTATAAGAGTAATAATTCCTATGTGTACAAATATGTTACCAAAGTACCAAAATTTTAAGGAACTAAAAAACTACCGTAGGACACGGTCAGGTTCACTTACCAAAATATAATTGATAATAGACTTCTATATAAATTTACTTTGTTATTGAAATTATTTACTTTGATCAGAAATCTGGCGTTAGATAATATAAAATTAGTTANAGGAACTAAATAATTGCAATAGGACGCGTATAGGTTCACCTACCAACGGATAGTTATTATTAAGCTTCTATATAAATTTACATGTTTTCGAAATTATTTACTTTGTTCAGAAATCTGGCGTAAGATAATATAAAATTATTTGATAAACATTGCGGTTGACCGGTGTGAATATTGTGTCTAGTTATGTTATCAAACTGTCAAAACGCTTATGGAACTACATAATTGCAATAGGACGCGTATAGGTTCACCTACCAACGGATAGTTATTATTTCGCTTCTATATAAATTTACATGTTTTCGAAATTATTTACTTTGTTCAGAAATCTGGTGCTAGCTAATCTAAAATTATTGATAACGAATTATTTGATAAACATTGCGGTTGATCGGCGTGAATATTATTTCTACTTAAAAGGTACTAATTACTATGTTTACAAATATGTTATCAAACTATCAAAACATGTAAGGAACTAAATAATTGCAATAGGACGCGTATAGGTTCACCTACCAACGGATAGTTATTATTAAGCTTCTATATAAATTTACATGTTTTCGAAATTATTTACTTGGTTTAGAAATCTGGCGTTAGATAATGTAAAATTATTTGATAAACATTGCGGTTGATCGGTCTGAATATCGTGTCTAGTTATGTTATCAAACTTTTATGTTATCAAACCAAAAATTTTAAGGAACTAAAAAACTGCAAAAGCATGGGAATAGGGTTCACTTATCTACAGATAGTTATTAATTAGTAGCTTCTATATAAATTAAGTTATTTTTCGAAATTATTGATTATGTTCAGAAATCTGGTACTAGCTAATCTAAAAGTGTTGATAACGAATTATTTGATAAACATTGCGATTGATCGGTGTGAATATTGTTTCTAGTTAAAAAGTACTAATAACTATGTTTACAAATATGTTATCAAATCATCGAAACATTTAAGGAACTAAATAATTGCAATAGGACGCGTATAGGTTCACCTACCAACGGATAGTTATTATTAAGCTTCTATATAAATTTACATGTTTTCGAAATTATTTACTTTGTTCAGAAATCTGGCATAAGATAATATAAAATTATTTGATAAACATTGCGGTTGACCGGTGTGAATATTGTGTCTAGTTATGTTATCAAACTGTCAAAACGCTTATGGAACTAAATAATTGCAATAGGACGCGTATAGGTTCACCTACCAACGGATAGTTATTATTTCGCTTCTATATAAATTTACATGTTTTCGAAATTATTTACTTTGTTCAGAAATCTGGCGTTAGATAATCTAAAAGTATTGATAACGAATTATTTGATAAACATTGCGATTGATCGGTGTGAATATTATTTCTACGTAAAAGGTACTAATTACTATGTTTACAAATATGTTATCAAATCATCGAAACATTTAAGGAACTAAATAATTGCAATAGGACGCGTATAGGTTCACCTACCAACGGATAGTTATTATTAAGCTTCTATATAAATTTACATGTTTTCGAAATTACATACTTTCTTCAGAAATCTGGCATAAGATAATATAAAATTATTTGATAAACATTAACATTGCGGTTGATCAGTGTGAATATTGTGTCTAGTTATGTTATCAAACTACCAAAAATTTTAAGGAACTAAAAAACTGCAAAAGGATGGGAATAGGTTCACTTACCTACCTACCTATGGATAGTTATTAATTAGTAGTTTCTATATAAATTTGGATCATTTTCGAAATGATTTACTTTTTCAGAAATCTGGTACTAGCTAATCTAAAAGTATTGATAACGAGTTATTTGATAAACACTGCGATTGATCGATATGAAAATTATTTTTATTTAAAAAGTACTAATAACTATGTTTACAAATATGTTATCAAATCATCGAAACATTTAAGGAACTAAATAATTGCAATAGGACGCGTATAGGTTCACCTACCAACGGATAGTTATTATTAAGCTTCTATATAAATTTACATGTTTTCGAAATTATTTACTTTGTTCAGAAATCTGGCGTAAGATAATATAAAATTATTTGATAAACATTGCGGTTGATCGGTGTGAATATTGTGTCTAGTTATGTTATCAAACTACCAAAAATTTTAAAGAACTAAAAAACTGCAAAAGCATGGGTATAGGTTCACTTACCTACGGATAGTTATTAATTAGTAGCTTCTATATAAATTTGGATCCTTTTCGAAATGATTTACTTTTTCAGAAATCTGGTACTAGCTAATCTAAAAGTATTGATAACGAGTTATTTGATAAACACTGCGATTGATCGATATGAAAATTATTTTTATTTAAAAAGTACTAATAACTATGTTTACAAATATGTTATCAAACTATCANTAAAAAATAATTTTGTTCGAAAAAAGTACAATATAAATAATAATATAAAAAAAAACAAATTAAACTTAAAAAACAGTAAAAAAATCGTACAAAATAGATTAAAAACATTATTAATATGAACATGAAATTGAATATCAAGACATATTTTAGAAAACTAAAATACATGCAAAATAATTAAATAACAATTCCCAAAATTTGTACGTTATACACATAAAAATTCAAAATACATAATTTGTGATGCTGGTTTTACTATCCACAAAAAGTCAATGAAGTTGGGTGGTGTAAAAGGTAAAGAAAGAGCCCTACGATTCCAAAAATATATCGTCTACCTATTTTATTGAAAAAGGAATTTAAACAAACT